GCTCTTTTTTTTTTCTTTTTATTGTAATTGCTTTTTTTTGTTCTTTCTTTGTTAATTAAGCTCATTATTTTATTTTCCAATTTTACTTTTATTATTAATTAATTAATCTTATTATTTCATATTTTTTCTTCATTTTTTCCTTCTAATTAACTATTTAATGATTTATTTTTTCTTCAATATTTAAAAAGTTGGAATTAAATTGGTGATGAAGGTGCATCAGGCTTAGGTTCTGCTTTAGCAAATTGCATTAATCTCTCGAATTTGACACTTGACCTTCAGTAAAAACAGTTTATTTGATTTGGATTGTGATATTTTTAATTATAAAAACTAATTAAAAACAATAAAGCTCTTTTTTCTTTTTTTTATTGTGCTTGCTTTTTTTTTGTTCTTTCTTTGTTAATTTAGCTCATCATTTTATTTTCAAATTTTGCATTTCTTATTAATTAATTAATCTTATTATTTCATATTTTTTCTTCATTTTTTCCTTCTAATTAACTATTTAATCATATATTTTTTCTTCAATATTTAAAAAGTAAAAATTAAATTGCTGATGAAGGTGCATCAGGCTTAGGTTCTGCTTTAGCAAATTGCATTAATCTCTCGAATTTGACACTTAAACTTGTGTAAAAACAGTTTATTTGATTTGGATTGTGATATTTTTAATTATAAAAACTAATTAAAAACAATAAAGCTCTTTTTTCTTTTTCTTTTTATTGTGCTTGCTTTTTTTTTGTTCTTTCTTTATTAATTTAGCTCACCATTTTATTTTCAAATTTTGCTTTTATTATTAATTAATTAATCTTATTATTTCATATTTTATTTTTTCCTTCTAATTAACTATTTAATCATATATTTTTTCTTCAATATTTAAAAAGTGAAAATTAAATTGCTGATGAAGGTGCATCAGGCTTAGGCTCTGCTTTAGCAAATTGCATTAATCTCTCGAATTTGACACTTGACCTTCAGTAAAAACAGTTTATTTGATTTGGATTGTGATATTTTTAATTATAAAAACTAATTAAAAACAATAAAGCTCTTTTTTCTTTTTATTGTGCTTGCTTTTTTTTTGTTCTTTCTTTGTTAATTAAGCTCATCATTTTATTTTCAAATTTTGCTTTTATTATTAATTAATTAATCTTATTATTTCATATTTTTTCTTCATTTTTTCCTTCTAATTAACTATTTAATGATATATTTTTTCTTCAATATTTAAAAAGTGGAAATTAAATTGGTCCAATTGGTGCATCAGGCTTAGGCTCTGCTTTAGCACATTGCATTAATCTCTCAAATTTGACACTTGATCTTGGGTAAAAACAGTTTATTTTTTTGGATTGTGATATTTTAAACAAAAAAGCTCTTTGAATTTATTTGATAGTTTTTATTTATTTTATTTTTTTATCTTTTTATTCAACTAATATTATTTTATTTATTAATTTAAAGAATAATCTTTAATTTAAAAGTTTATTCTATTTTGATATTTATTAATAATTTACACAAATTTATTATAAAAGTTATAACTCAATGAATAAATCATAAATATTCAAAGTAATAAGCAAGTGTCGTAAATCAAAAAGATTAGTTGTCTTTAATTTCTAATGATAAATAAGTATTGAAAAAAGGATGAATAAATATAAAATGTTTGAATAATATTATATATTTTATTATATAATATTTTGAAAAAAATTTAAACCTAAAATATAAATATAAATAGATTTTATATTTATAAATATCATTCATATTTTTGTAAGTAAATAAATTATTAATAAAAAATAAAAAATTAAATGCTCTTAAGCAAACTCTATTGTTTCTCCAAAAACGATCAAACAATTTGAAACTTTTAGTGTTATATTACATCTTATTAAATTATATAAATGCCAAACTTTATATGCCAGTTATATTTTAATCTTAAATATTATTCATCAACCATATTTTTATCCTTTTTTTTATTTATCTTGATTAATTAGATGCCATGATTTAAATAAAACCTCAGGGAGAAATCAAGTTTTACTTTTTATTTTAACTTTTTTGTTTATAATGTTTATTTTTGTTTTTTTTTTTCTCAAATTTTTAATTTATCTTATTATCGTTTTTTTCATTTTATATTTTTTAAATCATAAAATAATTGTTTTTTAAATTATCATTTATTCATTCAATAA